TGAGGGGTTGGGGTCCCTGTGGGCATGGGTTTGTCACTCCTGTCAGGGGCAGTGGTTCCCTAAGGGCAGGGATGGGGGTCCCTGTGAGCAGGTGGACAAACCTGTGGCGTTTGTCACCAGGAGAGGGATTGAGGGTCCCTGAGCGCAGGGAATCCGTGTTCCTGTGAGCAGGGGGTGTTCATAGCATGATGGGGAGACTAGCAGTGAATTGAGTTGGTGAAATCTCTTCTCCCCAAGCTGCCTTCAGCCAGGCCGGGATCCACACTGCTCGCCTGGCTTTAAACAAGCTGTTTATTCTCCCAGCCCTTCCTCCTGACACAGTGTCCCCATACAGTAACAAAACTAATTACTTACCTGTAGCCACGTAACTTTGTAGAGTTTTCTGCTCTACACCGTGTTCCTGAAATGTTTATCCCAGGCAAAGATGTGGAATGAGATCGAGCTGCTGCTGAACGAGGACACAGGGCAGCTCCCGGTGGGGCTGGGCCAGGAGTGTGGCACTGCCTTGTACCAGGTGGATACACTGCTGCAAATCTCATCTTCAGAGAAGGTACAACCCATCAAAGCTGTGCTTTTGTCTTTGATTAATTTGTCTTTTTTTCATCTAATAATTACCTGGTCTCCTTTGTCATGTTTCTGGAGTGTTCCTGTGTGAAACAACCTTTCCCTTCCCAGGTCTCTGGGAACCCTCAGCTCCATGCACACAGCTCCAGGGATGGCAGCGTTGTTGTTGTTGACAGATCTGTGGCACTTCTGGACAGCACTGGGCTATCTCTTCTGATGCACATTCAGTTTGGTGAGTTCTTTCCTTTGGAATTCCACTTGGCAGGTGAAAACTGGCTTTTAAAATATCTAGGTTTGTACAGGAAAGCATAGGAACTATCTGACTAGCCTGTAAAGGCAAGCATTATTACAAATACCTAAGTAATAAGAAGTGATTTTGGCTTCTGAAAACAATGGACTATTTCAGTACAATGTAATTAGAATCCTTTCTAACTTCTCACTGAAATGGGAATAATGGATACCAAAACCACTTCCTGTAGGACTCTTCCCATATTTCATTTAGTCAGAATGACTTGTTTTGAAGAAATCTGGGACACTGTGTTGTCCAATTCTTGCGTTAATATTTATTCATAAAACCCATATCTTAATATCTGGCATTTTGCCATGAAACTTTTCAGATACTAACGTGGATGTAGTGGATATGTGTCAAGACAAACAATTCCTTGTGGTTGGTGAGAGAAGTGGCAGTTTACATCTTATCCACATCCCATCAAAACAAACCTTGCTAACAAAGGTACAGTAACTTTTCTGTTTAATTCTGCTGAGAATGTTTTGTTCTCAGACTTTCTTGAGGTTTTTTAAAATCATTTTTCCAAATACCAAAGTTTAAACATCCTTGCTTTTTTAACCACATATTCTAACTAAAGAGGTGAAATGGACACTTCTGTTCCCATGAGTAATGAATAAGGAAAATCTATTTAGGAATGGCATGCATAAACAAGAACCTTCATAAAACAGAAGTTTAAAGTTTGAACTGATGATCAGTATTTCAATTTTCTTTAGTGAAATACAGAATAATAGTCTTTATGCTGTTTCTATTTTAGATTTTGGTTGAACAATCTACAAGTGAAAAGACGTACTTAAATCTCTTTTTTGTTAAAGATAATGCAGATGCAGGTAAGAAGTGGATGATTTTTTTTCTCCCCCCTTTGTCTGAATTTTTGTAATTCTGTTCCCCTTTAATAACTCTCGGGGAAAGAGATTACAACATAAGTAATACAGAAAAGCATAAAGAAAAGTTAATTTTATGTGCACAATGCAAAGCAAAGTTGTAGAAGATTCTTTATCTCATTCATTATTTTACAAATGTCATAGGAAACAAACATTCAGAACTTTTTCTTTTGAGACTGTGATAAACATATGAAAATGCTTAAAAAAGGAATAATTCCTTCTATCTTCTATCAGAGTTCAGTAGTTCTGTTCCATAAGCTCCCAGCCTTGTTCTGTCATAATAGAATATATTCTTCTGCTCCTAGTTGGAAATGACAACATTTTTGTTCAAAATACTCTAATCTATTGGTCAGATGATTTTTTGGGGTCAGTTATCTCACTGTCCTGTTTATAAGCAAGTCTTCTCTTTACGTGCTCTTGAATACTTCAGTTTGAAATATTTCTGTTGGGTTTTTTTAGGTGTTCATCACATGTTCATTCTCACAAGCAATGGATGCTTCTGCATTATGTGTGTCCCTCTTGGAAAAATACAGGAAGGTAGGATAAGCTTGGGATTTCATTGGAACAGGGAAACCTGTATTCAAAAACTTTCTTTGTGCCCTTTGAAAATTTTGAAAAAGTTTATTTAACACTGATTTTATTTTTTTTTAATATTTAGCCATTGAGAAGATGGATATGACTACAGCAAAGCAAGTAAGAAACACCTGCAAAACTGGCAAAATTGTTAAAAGTGCAGGGTTTGTAATCAAACTTTGCTCTGTACATTCCATTGACTATTTACCAGCCATTTCTCCCCCTCACAACAGTGGTTGTTGCTTTTCCTGCTCATTTAGAAATGAGCAGAAATTTTATTTACTGGTTCTATAAATAACTCTTTTTCTTCCCCATTTGTGGACGTCTCTTCTCTCCCACCCACAAGTTACAAGGACAGATAAAGACAACTTTCATTGCCACGGGAGAGCATCACAGCCTGGGCTGTCAGGATTTTGTCATCAGCAGCTCAGTGAACAAAATCCATTTGATAATTGGGGTAAGCACTAAGGATGTGATCGGAACAATTTTCATGTGATCAATGATGACATTTTTGGATCTGCAACAAAATTTCTCTCCAGCTGCTTGAAAGAGCAGCTCATCAGCTTTTTGCGCTGTTTTGCCTTTCATTTGCTTCACTGTCAATTTAAAGATTATCACTTGTGCAGTGTGTCCATAGCTTTTCTCATAAGGAAAATGCTGTCATTTCCAAAATTACTTTGTTGTGATGTGTCGCTGTTGAAGAACTCCAGTTTAGAAGACGAGAAGAAAAACAGATTTATTTCAAATGCACCACTCTATTTATAGGGAACATAGTGCAGACTAATTTCACTGGTCTTAAAGTAAAAACATCTTCCACCATTGGTGTGCTCTCAATGATGCACGATGGCAGAACATATCTATAAACAATATGAACAACAGGAGAGATGGTGAATTATTTACATTCTTTTCCAACTCCTTCCCAGGCCCAGCCTGGTAGAAATGTCTCTTTATGTCTCTGACTGAACACTGAGAATATCCACAGTGATGGATGAGGGAAAGTATTTCCACCCTGAGTTTCTGAGCTTAGTAAATCACCAGTTCCTGGTGTGTACAGGCTGGATTGTTTATAGATACTATCCTTGAGCTCACAGACAGAAGTTGGCAAAAATCTTCCAATCAGATTCTCATTCAACAAGGCATGCTAAAATTACAGGGTCTAATTCAACAAAGATTTTAAGCATGAATTAATAAGTACAGCAACTAATAAAGAAATTGAAATATAGACTTTGAAATGTAATTTGGGACTGCAAACAGGTTCTCTGAGTTTACTTTTTGAAGCCTGTTGAATTCAGTGGAATTTTCCTCAGTAGGCACAGAGTAATTTCATTCAGCTTTTAAGTTCTGTGAGAATGAAAAGTGGGTATTTTGAAATACTGTTTTTCAAAGAGCCAAAAACTGCTGAGTGTAACAATCACTGTAACAAAGGCGGGTCTTGAAAGGAGAAAGGGAAAAGATTAAATTAAAAATCAAGAAATCATTGTATTTTTCTGAACATCAGTAGAGGAATAAAGTTAAATTTAGGTTTGCAGATTTCCAAGTTTAAGATCAATGGTAGAAACAGACATGTCAGTGGTCAAATATCTCCTGTCTAACCCCATTTTGCTTTGCCTCTCCTCACAGGGTAAAGGGGATTACGTGCTCTCCAAATGGGAGGTGGACCCCACCAGTGCCCTGGTGTCTGCTCAAAGTTTTGCTGATTCAAGTCTGATCCAAGGTAAAGAAGTTTATCTCTTTATAGACAAGTGCAGATTTCATATTTAATTGCAGAATGTACTAATTTTCAGTTATTTCATTGTTCTTAATAAATTCACATGTAACAAACAGAACATGTTTGTAAAGGTACAGCCAAATTTTGGCTTCAAAATTGCAGTTTAACTTAGTTACATAAATCACAATTCACTTTAAGCTAAGCTTTGCACAGTCCTAGGAAGTTCCATGCAGTTAAACCATGAGGTTGCCAATACTTGGTTGTGTATTTGAATATGTTTTTACATATCTCAAGAAAAATAATGAATTTATGTGAGTATTAATATTTTTTAGGTGCTGCAAAACTTCAAGTCCTTGACAATCAGCTGTTTGTTTTGGATACAGAGGTATGGATGATTTGATTTGATCTTCACTTTACTATGTTCTTGAACCGGCTTATAAACATATTTTTAAGGTTTAAAGTGAAGTTTCTGTAAAATGAAGGTGCTTATATCAAGAACATCTTGATCTTTCTGTGCTGTTTTTTTTTAAATTCTACTCCTATTCATTATTTAAGCCACAAAATGTAATATTTTGCTCAAAAACTGTCTTCTATGAAGAATATATGAACTCATATCTGTTTGTTTTTTTTAATCTAGAACATCTTAAGCACATGGGATATTTATTCTCTCACTCTAATTTGGGATTGGCCTTTGATACATATTGAAGAATTTCTTCTCACTACTGAATCAGATTCCTCTCAAGTCACGTGGTAAGTGAAATGTTACAGCACCAATCCCGAGAAGTGAAAAGCTGTCTGGTGCTGTGATTTCTATGAAATATCTCATTATTTTGGCCCAGATGCTGGTGCAAAACATCATGTCCTTGTCAGAAATTACTTTTCTTAAAAATTAAGATTAAACAGAATGTGTGAAAAAATGCAACTACTGTTCTAAAGTGTTTAGAACTAGTGTTCTAAAGTTAAAATATAAAGGGATTTTTAAATGTTTTTTTTGTCATGGAATGAAAAATTTTCTAAAACACAGAGGCCCAAATATTTCACAGTTTTAACCTAAGATTCATACAGCAAATTTTGCTTTCTTTTTTCTCTTTCTCATTCATTAGGCAAGGGCTTGCCAATGTGAAACTGATTGTCATGACAATGCCAGATGACAAGCAGGTATAATCTCCTTTTCTGTGTTCTGCTCCTTAATTATTATGCATTTTCTCATAGGAAAATGGGGGGAGAGGGGTGGAGGTGGCAAAATATTTGAGGCACAGAGAATTCTGAGGAGAGACAGAGAGGGAGGCAACGTTTGAAGCTTCATTAAACTTCCTCAAACTGGAAATCTGCATTCCATAAAAAGTCCTACAAATACTGCCCTCTAATTCCATGAGAATTCAGAAATGATTCTGCAAATATCACTCACTAGTGTAAAAGAAAAAAAAAAAAATAATTCTGATTTCTTTATTTGTTTTCTCCCTTATTTTTTTTTTAATAGATGAGAAGCCTAATGGTTTTTGCATTGCCCACTATGCAACAGCTCTATTCTCTGGAAGTGTCTCCTGTGTCTTCCCTTGTTCAAAGTGTGATTTGCACTGTACGTTTTGATTTTTTTTTATTTGAAGAAATATAGTTGTCTTAATATGTGTAAATATTAAAGAGGGTACTGTGTTACTCAGGTTAGAACCAATTTCTGCTAGAAACTGTGCAGGAACCATACAAAAAAAAATTAAGTAATGTCCCCAGAGGAGAAAAATATCCTATTATGAAGCAAACTGAACTATTTAAATTTAGTCTGAGGTCTCTTGCACTGCTTAATAGCACTGCCAGTCATTCCTGCTTCTGTTACAGCTAAAAACTAAAGGAAATTTTTTAAGTTCTCCTAGCATAGAAAAATGCTCTGGATTTATTTGGAATTAAATTCATTTCATGTGATGGTTTCTGTCATTGCATTCTACAGGATACAATATACTTTTTGGAAGGAATTCATGAAAAGCATCAGATGTAAGATAACATTTTGTTTGTACTAGCTCATTATTATATAAAAATGGCAGGTTACTTGCACACAGAGTTGATAAATTCATATAATTCCCTCTCATCCTCAGGCCCTCTGAAGACCCAGTTTCTATAGTTGTGATGAGAAGTTTAACTGAAGCCCTGCCAGAAAATAGGTACTTGTTTCTGTGAAAAAAACACATTGTATTATATATTTTTTTAAGTATCTGGACTTACATTGAATTGGTTTATTTTATTTCATCTCCAGACTAAGTCGTTTACTGCACAAACACAAATTCACTGAAGCAGAGAATTTTGCTATTCAGTTTGGACTGGATGTTGAGGTGAGTTGTTCATTCATGATAAACACATTAGAGATTAAAGAGTATAACTGAAACTATGTTAAGATTCTTGCCCTATAGTCAAATAGAAAGTATTAAAATTATTACAGATATTACCAAGGCAGTGGAATGTTACCTTATAAAACAACTCACCATACTTGTATTATTTTTTTAAACAGCTTGTATACAAAGTAAAAGCAAACACAATTTTAGAGAAAATGGCTTCAGCTTCTCTTGGGAGTTATGGCCAGGAAGACTTGCTGGCTCTTGGCAATGAAGCCAAAGAAAATTTGCAAAAAATACAGGTTTGTTTTTAGTTCTACCCTCTCTCCCTACTAAAGCAATTCAAATTATAAAGGATCTTGGAATTAATATCGGTTGTTTCCTTATGCAAACAGGACAACCAGTTTGTTGTGAATTACTGCATCAATGCTCCATGGCCACTGTATGAAACCACACGAGAAATGCTGAATTATGCTAAAGTCAGAGTAAGGGGTTTATTTGTTTCTATTTCTTCTACTCTTCAACTTCTATTCCACCCTTCTGTACAACTTGAGAGGGGCACAAACCAGTTACAGTCATTCCAAAGGCAAAAGTAAAGGCATTATAAATCCTATGTAACCAGACATGAAGAAGCAGCAAGTCGTGATCCCATCTTCTTCTTGGTATTGCTCAAGGGCAAGAATGAGTTCACAGTTTTATTTTGTATCACAAAGCAGGGTTTAGTTTTGAGTAGCAGTTTTTTAAAGTACCTTTTAAATATTAATTTTCAAACTAAACTCAAATTAGGTCACCTTTTTTTGTTTTCTTTATTTTAGTCTTATCAAACAGAACCAGAAAGGATCTGTCTGATCCTCCATCCATGCAGAAATCCAACCCGATTAGATTGGATCAGGTTAGATCCAATCTAACATTGTAAAATCTCAATTTACAAAAGTCCTGACTTCTTGATCATGTCTTTACTGCACTCACAGTCCTGTCTGCATGTTCTGAGTTGTCAGCCAAACCCTTTCATGTACCTTTTTCAGATCTTGAAAAAGGACAATAGAACCAATGCTCCACCATCTGATGAGGCTCCAGTATCCATAGCTGAGGTGAGGACAAATTTCTTGGATCTGCAGTATCATATAAACAATTGTAATGTAGAGTTTTACAAACTGTAAATTCAAATTATAACTGTAAAATACTGCTGAATTTTAAAAAATCTAAACAAAATTAAATTTAATAGTATGAAAGAGAATCACAGTAATTACAAATTCAGAAATAAGCCATTCCTTCAGTCATAGAAAGATTTAGTTTCAGATGCTCCATAAGTTGAAGGCAGAACCTTCCTTAAAGTACTTTTTGGAGTTTCTTTTTTTTTTTTGTTTAGTCCTGTTGTAAACTGGCCTCATCTGCCTTCAAAGAGAATCAATGCTTTAATCATGTAATGCAATAATATGTTCAGCCAGATATTAACCTTAAATCTCATCTGCATTCAGGTGTTGAGAGCTCAGGCAAGGCTTACAACATTCTGTGAAGCTTTTGGAATAGAGAAATTCAGGTTTGTTTGTGTTTAAGATTTAAAATAAATTGTGATTGTTAAGCCTGTACCACTGAAATTAAGATTATTTTAGGATTTTAATATGAATTAATTAAACTTCAAGCTCTTCCTTCTTTGCCTGAAGTTTCCCATTCTGTGATGTGGAGAAGGGAGAATGCAGAGAAGTTGAGTCATCTTGTATTGAAAACATAAATTATCTGTTGCACATCCACTTAAATAGTTGGGTTTTTTTTGTTCAATATCTGTAGGAGGGATTGTGATTTTTACAAACACAAGTACCACTCCTGTTGTTTCTTCCAACATCCAGCACTAGGTAGAAAGGTTTTGAAGTTCTCCCCCCAATTTCTTTGTTAATGACATTTAACAAAGCTTCTCTTCCCCCTCACTTTTAGTGGCATTGCTTGGACAGAATTCCTGAATAATGAGGATGTGTTCAAGATTATTGTTTTTCAGCTGGAAGAAGGAAATTTGGCTTGTGCTCAATACCTCTGGCTTAGGCATCAGGTGAGGTGGCACAGACATCTCTGGGATTTATGGAAGGGGTTAAATCTCTTCAATTTTCCAGCTTAATTTCACAGAGGCTGTTACAAAACAGCTCCTCAGAGAAGCAAAGGTCCATGGCAACATCTCATCAATTACCACAATGATTACCTGTTCACTTGGATGCTTAGGAGGCTGAACTTCTTATTGATTTGGGAATAAACTGGTATTTCTGATGTCAGAATTCATATTTCTAAGTCATGGCAGTTTGATTTATTCTGCAGTGCTTGTAATCTTCCACTCACTTTCTTGCAGTCACAGCTCTTGGAATTAAGTGGATGTTTGCTGCCTACGTTAAAATCCTTTAAAAATAATCACGCAGACTCCTTACTCTGAATGACACATTTAAGATAGTGTGTGTGTGTGTGTGTGTGTGTGCTGTTATTTTATTTTTTAGTGCAAGACTTTCAGTTCCATGTCTGTTTTCTCAATAAGACAGAACTATAGAGTGAGTGTGAAAGTAATAGAACAGTGTGATTGGTAAAGAAATTCCTTAAATTGGGTCTTTTTTTAAGAAGACCACACTCTAGTTTTACTGAACAGAGCTTTACTGAACTCTAGTTTTACTGAACAGAAACTTCTTTAATTTCTGTCTATGACTACTGAGATTTTCTCTTCGTGAAATTTACTGGCTCTTCTTATTACTGAAACAGCTTTACAGAATATCACATGAACATATACTCCATGGATCTGTAATTGTTCTGGTCTAATATTTTAGGCTGATTTTGAAAGCAGCTTTGATGAGAAAATGCTGAAGGATTTGCTCAATGCCATCCATTTCACTGCTCCTTTGGAGGAACTTTGTGCGTGGCTTAAAAATTTTGTGATCCCCTTCTCAAGAAGGGTTGTGCCAGATGGACAGGTGAGACTGACTTAAGAACTGCAAATTGTAATTTTGTCAGACTAAGATGATTTTACTGTCAAGCCTCCAGACTTCTGAATGTCAGGAATTTGTTCCTCTGTCTTTGAAATGGATTCTTTTCCCTAGCATTTATATTTGAAATTATTTCTTTTGGAAGAAGTTTCTAATGGCAAATTTTGCTTTGATAGATAACATAACTCATAAATATATTTTTTTCCAGAAAATATTAGCAAAATGGCTGGAACAAGCTGCTCGAAACCTTGAGTTAACTGACAAGGTAAATCACACTGCAGAAACTTGGCATATCTTATATTTCTAGATGTATAATATGGTTTGCTAACATCAACTATTTTGGACAGGCAAACTGGCCTGAAAATGGACTCCAAGTGGCAGAGATTTTTTTTACAAGTAAAAATCAAGGTGAACTGGGAGTGACAGCTTTTGGCAAGTGGACTTCTTTGGTAAGAAATGTAACAAACACAAAAATTAGCTACTAAGAAACTTCAAACAGATGATGTGTGCTAGAGCTGGAGTGGAAGATAATTATGTCACTGGTGAGTCTAGTGGAGATTGACTTAATACCATGAAAGGAAAGAATTCCAATTTTCTTGTGTTTAAAGATATAAAAAAAATAGATTACAGCCTCTTAATGGTCTCATCTCCTAACATTTCACTTCTCAACACACTTTCAGAGATGTGGTGACTGTGAAGAGATACAGAGGTTAAAGAAGCTGGTAAATGATTTACAAGAATTGAGAAATCTGTACAGAAAATACAACTGCAGACTGGCATTCTGTGATTTTGAAAAGGTAACACTGCAGACACTTGAAAAAGTGCTTTTCAGGTTCTGAAAAGAAGAATATTATAGCATGAAATTTAAAGTCAGACAAAAAATCCTGATGGATGTTGGTTATATTTCCATTCATAAGCTAGTAAGACTATTTGAGAAGTTGTATTACAAATTTTCTTTCAGCTGAGGTTATAAATATAGCCTAAGACACTGTGAGAAGCTGTGGCTCAAACTCTGGTTTGCAGGTTATTACAGATCATCTGCTGTGGAAACAAGGATTGGCTACAGAGAAATTGAAAGTACAACTGAACAAGAAAAGCTTTGTAAATAAAAGGGTTTATTTGAATTAAATAGGGTTTCTTGCTCTGGAAATCTTTCAGTTGATTTCAGTGGCCTCTGGATGTTGGATTATGGATCAGGGATGTTAATGGCCTTGCACTGATATGTGTGATATTCTAACATGGCCTTTTCCCACTTGCTGCCCAGGAAAATGCAACCACTATTGTGTTTCGCATGCTTGATAAAATTTTGGCACCAGAGCTTGTCCCATCAATTTTGGAGAAATTTATAAAACCCTACTTGTGTGAACACAACCTACAAAAAGATGAGCTTCTTCTACAGTATGTCAAGGTATCCATATTTTCTTCCTTTTGAAGAAACCTATTTCAACATCAGGAAGCAGAAACCAAGTCTGATGAACATTTGAATTTAAAACTGAATTTTAGGCCCAGCTTTTATATTAATCCTATTCCTGACAATGAAGTTAATGATAGTTACTCTTTCAGTTATGAAACTATCCCTTAATGCCCAGAAAACTTGACACTTTTGTTCATATTATAAGTTACTCCTATCTTTTCTGATTTCAAGTGTTCTGACCACTTTTATCCAAACAGGATTTGCTGGAGCGCTGTCGGACACGATCGATTTCAGTGTTTGAAACTGCCTGGGAGGCCAAGGCAGTGGCTGTCATTGGCTGCATCTCTGGCACTGATGTAAGTATGTTTCATGAAAGCCATCAAGTGACTTCACCACGTCAGTGATTTTCACATAATGCTCTGAGTACATTTTTAATGAGTGCCATGAGGAGAAAATAGTATGTTATTATGTTATCTTCTTATTCTATTTTATCATCTCCCCTGTGATACTTTTTGAGGACATAATTAGTAGTTGTGATGTCATCACATGGAAAACTCACCAATTTTAATATGTATAGAGCCACAGTGTCATAAATGACTGCAAGCATATTCTAATTGAACTTGACACATCATATGATGACAATAAATGCTCTTTATGCAAGTGAAGATTGGGCAAGGAAATAAAATACTTCCCTAAGGGATCAGTCACACATGAACAATACTTCAAGGGACTATTTGAAACTTATTTTGAAAAGTGAGCTGTTTGTGTCCCTCTTGCAGCTGAAATTTGATGCAGTCCTGCAGATAATGCATGGAGCTGTGGTGCCATGGAGTGCAGCAGTGGAGCAGCTGGTCAAACAGCACCTGGAAATGAATCATGTCAAGTAAGCAGCATCCACAGGCTACCTTTGGCTGGGGAAATACTGTGTGTCTGATGTGATGATTAAATCCCATAGCTGGCAATAGCAAAGGAATTAATGATGGTTGAATTTGTCCCCAGAGTGAAGTTACTGCAGGAAAGTTACAGACTGATGGAGATGAAGAAGCTTTTGAGAGCCTATGGGATAAGAGATACCAATCTTTTAAAGGACAAGCAGATGATAATGGTAAGTTACCAAGAGTTTAGAGTTCTCTAAAGGTCACAGTGAACAGCACTTGGTGATTTTTTTTTTTTTTTTACCATTTGAATTGTTTTTTTTTAACATCTCCCCTTCATTAGAAGACATGAATATTTCTGGAAAAGTTCATAAATATCCTGAGGAACCAGACAAATTTTCAGAGTTCCCAGGCTAATTCAGTCCCCAAGCCCTGTTTTCTCCCAGTTACACTTCAGTCAGCTTTTCTCTAGATAAAAGTTTTAAGCTTCCAGGTAACTTGCTTGATACAAACTAAACAATTCCATTGGTAAAGTAGTGTGTATAGACTAATTCCTTTGTTATCCTTTACATCAACAAACTAAAGTCCATTTCTCTTCTTACAGAGGCTTGCCAGATACATTCTCAAACAAGACACCCCTACTTGCTTGGAGGATGCCTTGAAAATTGTGGAAGCCTACATGCTGCCCACTGGAGAAGTCTATTTCCTGAGGATGATGGACCTGATTAACAAAGGAAGGGTAGGGACTGGAATTTAAAGACACTGAAGCCTCTTGATAAAACAGGGACAAATTGCTGAAGTCTTATAAGCAGTTTGCATAAGTATTTTTAATTCAAACTATTAATGACACCTAACTGCCTTAGCAGCAATGTTTAGCATTGAAAATTAGTTATTTGTCAGAGTTTTATCCTTCTTTTGTGGCAGAATAGGGTGAAAGTTGTGACCTGCAATACACCAAATGAGTTTGGAATTGAAGTCTCTACACATTTTCATGCATTGTTATTTACCCTCACGACCATTGTGCAGCCATTGCATCAGAACAAGAATGTACACGTAACTCAGCTTCTCCAAAAGCAAATGCCCTTTCCTTTTAATTATTTCTGTTCTAATTTTGTTTGTTTCTTTTTCTCCTTTCAGGGAGAAGAATCTCTGACTTTGCTAAAATCTCTGCCTCTTGCTAAGACTGAGGAAATTGTGGAGAGATTGACTCTGTGGGGAAGACTGGTGTTAAAGAACAAAGCAGATGATCTTGAAGAGGTACCAAGATTTTTCACACCACAAAGTGTGCACACAACTTATTCTGAAAAGGGAGAGGGTTGGATTTTTCCTGAGAGAGCTGACAGACTGTGGCATAAACACATAAACACCTATAAAATATTTACTGCTTCTATAAAGGATTAATATGTAAAATAACTTTCTGTTCCTTTGCTTTTCAACGGGCTGTGCCTTAGATTTGGTATTTATTGCTTAAGAAGTTTGTGGAACGTTGCATTGTACTTTAAGAGGTGAAGCCCAAGTCTATTCTGGCAACATTTTAACAAAAAAATAAAAACCTCTTCTTTTCCTGCAGCAAAAACTACGAATGTTTATGACTAAGACACTGGTGGAAGTCCTTAAATCCTGGCTCAGCATTCAAAAAGGTAAAGGTACAATTTCAACATCTTAGATCTTCCTTGTGTAAATGGAATCAAAATGTAATTGTTTTTCTCCTCCAACAGACAATTCTGTGAAAAAATATGAACGTGAAGAAAACCTAAAGTTGTTTGATACACTTGCTAGTCTGCAGGTGGGTATTTATTGTTTTAAATCCCTTTTTGATTTACTGGAGTTACTCCAATTGTTCTTATCACATTGATCATACTAAAAATTAATTGTATTTATGACCTGCATGCAAATGTTGTTTTTATTATTGACTTCAAATTGATTCTAAGGTTAATCTACCAATTTAATCTAGTCTGGGGAAGTTCCCAATTAGAACTCAGTTGTCTATTTAAACCAAAAATTAGATACAATTGCTAATACTTCAAAGAGTTCATGACAGAGTGCTGTACAAATTTTTTTAGATCTCCGGACAGTAGGTAAAAAAAGCAATTTAAAGGAAGTCATATGGATACAAATATATAATTAACTTTTTTTGTTGCAGGAGTATTTTGGTATCTTTCTCTCAGGTGAAGAATACAGGAACCCTTCACTGATATCTGCACTTCTTGAGGGTCACATAAGCTCTTATGAACGTGTCAGATCTGCATCCAAGTCTAGACATGTGCAAGCAGTGAATTGTAATTCAGAAGGTGGCAAGCCCAAAACCCCGCTCACTGAATCCAGGTTGTACAGACTGGCTTTGCTCCTGCAAGTTTCAGAGCATGAACTGGGAGAAAAACTGGCCTTGAGAGCCCTGGATGATGGAAAAGTGGAAGTGGCTGTAAATATATGCAGGTAAAACTGCAGAGCTTTTCAAGATTATCACTTTTAATGGGCTTTTTTGAACTATTTCTGCCACTTTTTTGAATTATGTAGAGCAAAGGAAAAGGGTTTTTTTTTACTTTAATAATTAGAACAGAATTAAGTAAAGCCCTAAGAATTACTGGCTTTTTATTCCTAACATCCTTTTCTTTCTTAATAGGGCATTCTATGAAAATAGCTGGAATGAAAATACAGGGAAGCTGCTGTTTGCAGTGTGTCAAAGGCTTTGCCATATGCTGGGAGCTGATGTTCCAATGATCATTCCTGATGGGATGGATCTTCCAACAGTGATCCATGAGCTGGCTGGCCAAGCAGCCACACTGTGCAGTCCAGGTAATTCCTGTTCCCATTTACCTGGGTTCATGCTGGGAGCCCAGCTTTCCAACCTGAGAACCAAGTGAATTTCTAGATCTGCATCTGTGAAAATAGGTCCTACAATATTGTTTCCTTTTAAGTGGACAGATGAACCTTCCATTTCTGCTAATGATCCCAATATTTTTACAGATTTAGTGTTGGATTGTCTGGAACTGTGTAAATACACTTCACTTGCCAAGGAAATTAATGGACAGTGCCAGATGGACAACTATGAATTTACAGCAGAGGTATTTTCTGTGCTGTTCACTCTATATATTCTTTTCCTTCTCATTTCTCCAGCACTCTTTAATCAAAAAGCCAACAACAACCAAAAAAATCCTCAAATAAAAACTTCCTAGAATTTGTGTGTTCTTCAGCTTAAAGAATGAACTGATTTGAGTCCTAAAAGCAGCGCCAGCTGTGGGACAAGCACAAGCAGCATTCTCCACTTACATTTCAGTAAAATAAATCCTGCTGAAAACAGTGATTTTATCAAACAGCTTCTGCCAGGACTGGCAGAGAGCTAGCTTGAAAGTATGGCAGGGAGGGTTTGGTTTTTAAATGAATGTACTATGTGAAAGCTTCCCCAAAAGTTCTGTAAAACTTTAAGATTATCAAGTTCTTGAATAGAAGCTTTGTTTTCTGTTTAGGTCAAGCAGTGCTTTAGGCTACTTGAAATGAATGGGCTCTTACAGCTGGAGTGGAGTAGAGCAGAGTGGCTGGGCTTGTTTATCCACAAAATACTATTTTTCTAGAAAATGGTCCATTTGCAAAATGTTTGCTTATAATATTTGGCCAAGAATGTTTATGAAAGCCTCTATTAAATTGACTAAGAGTACATTTTGGCTGTACAACTAAACAACTGCAACACGAAGGACAAATGTGGCCATTCTAGGTAGGAAATGGATTTATTGCCAGTGGCCATTTAACAGAATTGCTACTTTCAAATAGAACATCATGCTCTATTCCTGTATTCCAAAACAGAAACCTGTTAGTGGACTCATCAACTCTGCCTTTCATTGTGTGTACTTCTAACAATATTCTTACTTAGACAACATCTTCTGGAGGAGATAAAGATCCTTACAAGGAGTGGACTTATGATGATTTCTTTAAAGAAGATGGGATAGTCCTTGATCCTCAGACATCTCTTCCAGTTGCATATGAGCTTGCTTCTGCTGTTCTGCCTGTTTGTGGTAAGCTTGTTCTCCTCAACATTGAGACAATAGAAAATCTATGTTTCTTACTGATTTTTATCTAGAAATATAAATAATTTAGCTCATGTGTGGAAATGATCACCTCATAAATCTCAGTTAGACAAACTCATGGTAGAAATACCCATCCAGGGGTATAGAATGGAAAGATGACTTTGGGTTTGGTTCTTATTTCCACCCATGAAGAGTTTAATGTTGACTGTCTTATCCAAGGGATTTACATACAAAGGAGTTACTAAAAACTGTTGGATTCCTTTGTGAGTCTGAAAGATATTTCCTCCTAGAAAATAAATTCTGAGCAGGCACAGTTAAAAACAGCAGCAAATGGCTCTTGTTCACATGTCTCTATTTTATGTCCTGACCTGTGGTATTTTTAGGGTTCTCCCAGACTTGCTGGTGTTGCCAAGTTCCTGGCATGCTGCTGATGAGCATTTTCTGTCTTTCAGAGGACAAGCTGTACCCCCTGGAGTCTCAAAGCCTGGCACACAGAACATTCATGGAAGGTATCACACCCTGCTTGGGTGGGAAAGAGCCTTAAAAATCACCCAACTCCAGGAGTATGAGGGCAGATCCACCACAATGAAAGTCTAAACAGACCACTGGAAAACACGAGGTTTAAATTCACCCTACACAAGCATAACTGACTCATAGGGGGTTTTACAGGTGCCAAAATGTTCCACTTAAAGCCATATTTTAGGGCGTGGTTTGGTTCAACACAGAAGTCACCAGTTTGGGTGGTAATTCCCATTATTCCACCATGGGAATTTTGACCATCTCAAAACCTGTACTTCAGTCCAGTTCTAGCACTGTGATTAAAGATCATCAAGGACCTGTCCAAGAACACAACTTCTGACCAAAACCTTGTGACTTTTGGACTAAAATGGGAATCTGTATTAAAAGCCCCGAGAATTTTAGATTTTAAAAGGAACTAAGGCAAATCCTGAGTCATAACTCTTATGAAGAAAAAGAGAAACTGCTCTGATATGAACTCCAAGAACAATACGCTTTATAATAACTTTCTGGGGTTGTTTTTGAAATATTTCACAGGACACAACTTCCTGCTGCCTGTTGGATCTCCCTTCTCTGCAGCAGTGCAGAACCTGCTGGAGTGCAGCCAGTTCCAGCTGGCCCTGCAGCTCACAGTGTGTGCCTTTGGCTCCTGCCTCCAGCACGGCATTTCAAACACCATGGCACTATCCCCAAGTGAAAAGGTGACTTTTGGCAAATTTAGAGTAGTTTTCTAAGGATTTGGGAGGCAGGGGAAAGGCTCTCACCATGACCTTTTATTAGCACCACTTGATCAGGTGTTGAGTCAGTTTGTGAAAGGAGCTGGTGGTTTCTTCCCTGTTTTTCATGGTCCTCTCCCTTTGCAAAGTGTGTTCAGAACTGAGCTTTTATTCCTGGCCTTCCTGCAGAGACTAGGATGAGTGTTAATAATGGCTTACTCTGTTTTTTCATGTTGTTTTAGTATGGGAAAAGTTATAAGTAGAATATTCAAGAAACATTCCTCAATTCAAAAGCACTTGGAAAACAGAAATCCTTTTTCTATCTGGAAGAAATCTTTATAAGGCCTTAAATAAATCTGAAAATACAATCACTATAGTACATCCTGCTATGCTGTAAATGACAAGAAGTTGAAGATTTAGAATTTATTTTTAATTAGGTGCTGTTTTCTTCATAATAGCCACAAAACGATCTACTACTCACTGAAACCAGAAGCTTCCTCATGGCTATGAGGGAGAAGAGCAGTTCAGTAATCAAGACTTCTGTCCTGAACTTACTACACAAGGTAAGAATCACCTGGAAAGGGTGACGGAGCCACTTTCTTCTGCTCTACCTGACAGCCACATGGAATTGTTTCATTTGGAAAAGAGCTTCAAGATCATGGAGCCCAGCCCTTAAACTAAAGCCAAGTCAACCATTAAAGCATGTACTGAGCACCACATCTTTAAACACCTTCAGCAGTGGTGTCTCAACCACCTCCCTGAGCAGCTTTTCCAAAGAGCCTTTGAGCCCTTTGTGGACTGTGGCTCTTTGTTCCTGCTCAGTTTGCTCTGCTTGGAAGGTACTGGACAGTGGGAGCCTCACCTTTGTGGGGTCCTTTAGGGTTCCAAGTGACTGTAATGGCCTTTAGGAGCTGTAGGTATTTTCTGTGTTATTTGAAATCCTGGATTTGTTTTAGATTGGTAGTTTTCCTAGGTGGGTGGAGTTTTTAAAAAGCTCTGTGCTAAACCTTCAGTTTACCATCTTCTAAGGCAGCGTAGACTAAGGGAAGTCACTTTCAGACTGGCTTCAGGATATTCAGATGTTAAATTTTAAATCCTGAAATGCCTTTTTATTCTTTTTCCTCCCTAACTTAAGGATCCAATACATATCTAAATTCTGGAGTATTTTTCCTGTGTTGCACCTGATACAAAGAGACCTCTTGTAGAAATTAAATAAATCCTAAAGTTTATCTTTTTTTTTTTTTTTCTCCCAAACCACAGGTGTTCAACTCTCGTGTCATCGATCAGAACCTGGCCCTGGGCTATTGCACTGTTTTGTCCAAGGAAGAGATGTTCAATAAGCTGTGGGAGGTCATAAACAACTCATGGCAGAATTACAGAAAAGTTTTGGTAAATTCCCAAGGCCTTGAGTTTCTTCAGCAAACAGACAATGTTAAAGAGATCCTTCATTTAGGGCCCTGGGAGAGGAGCTGCCTCTTTGCCACAGTGGGAAGTTGCTGTCAATATTAATGTGGTTTTCAACCTCATCATGACTTATTCCAAAACCTGAAATTATTTACTTTAGGTCCCATCTTAATTGATATATACAGTATATTTTGGATAAGTTGTTCTCTGGTAGCAGTTTTCAAGAATGGAATGAGTGAATACATCTATTAAAATATAAAGGAAGATGGGAAGTAAAGAAATGTGGAGGGAGAGTAATGTAAATTCAAGTTCCTCTAAGGATTTAGATCTCAGCATTCCCAATTTTCAGATTATTTATTAGACTTGTATTCACTTCCTTTCTCCTTCCTTCTAGGCAGTAGCTCTGGTGGGAGCAGAGCTTGCTGACCAATATGGTGAAGCAGAAGAAAAGAGAAAATTCCAGGAATTGGTTATTGATGCAGAATGGGGCATCCAGCTTGGTAAATTTGGTGTAAGTTTTTATTTATTTACTTATTTTAGGGTTTTAATAACTAATCAGTTAATAATATCAGTATAACCTGGGATGTGTGTGAGTTTTTAGGCAGATTTCCCATTCAAATGTAAGCAAAGTTGGAGTTTTGGATTTGATTTTTCATTCTGCTTGTCTGCATAAATATCAGAAATGGAAATGCAATAATTGAGGGGGCTGAAAAAGAAAATTTAAGTTCTTAAGTATTATTTGATTCAGGAGGTAATCAGCAAATCCGCTGCTTTTTCCTGCTCTGAAAGTGTCTGGATTGAAACTAAAAGAAGTAAAAGCTTCACTGTATAAGGAATTAGTCTTGATATTGTCTAAAAGACTCTGAGAAGATGAGTGTGTTTTTATCTGCAGATTTCTTTTGAGACTGTGTTTAGACAGCCACCAATAAGGAAGAAAGAACTCATAAGACTGCTGGTACAAAACCCAGAAGTGGACACAGCTCTCATCTTGAATTACTGCAGGTACTGATTCCATGAAATCTATTGCTGTAAAAACAACCATGGCCACTGAAACCTCTTTTGCTTTAAATAAATCCTAATTAAGAGAAAATGCAAACCCTCCTCCTTTTTTAAAAATTGCTATTCAGCATACATCCTGCCTTGGATTAATTTAATTAAAAGGAAAGAAGCTCCTTGATGACAAAGCTCCCAGAGAGAATCATGCTCTTTTCTCTCCTAGCACTTTCGCACTGGACAGTGATGCTGCACTGCAGCTCTGCATTGAAACCCTTCTGCTCCAGAATTCAAACACAAACGATGTTGAAGATGACTCTGCAGAAAGCAGTGAGAGGCAACCTCATTCCACATTACTGGCTAGAACACTAAAAATAATCCCTCTGCTGAACAGCACCAAAGACCTGGTCATGAGTCTTAGTGGAATATTGTACAAGGTAAAAAAAAATGTATAAAATAAAACAAAAAAAACCACCAACACAGCCACATCTCTGGAATCTACATCTAATAATTGCTGCATGTCACTTGAATGGCAGAGGAATAATTCCACAGAAACTAAAAAGGTTGTGTTTTTTCCAAATTTTCTTAAAGCTTGTAAATGTTAAGACTCAGTTTTTTGCTTTTCTACAAAAGAAATGACAGCCACATATTTAATTTTCTCAAAAGAGAGGTAGGAGTGTTTCATCCCCACTTTCCTTAAAAACTGACCAGCCAGAAAATCAAACAAAAAAGTAATTCCTAAGTTCTACATTAAAAATAGGTGGGAATTAAAAATTATATTTTGGGGGTGTTTTTATATTTCAAAGGGTTGGTGTTTTTGTGGGGGTGAGTTTTTTGGGGTTTGTTTTGTTTCCAGCACTTGTTTGGTCTTTCTGCCAAATCCTGATGCCTTTTTTTAGGATTTAAGAAAGTGTTTTAAAGAATTATGTCATGATGCTTATATCAACATAACACTGAAGAAACAGTAACTGGTATTAAAAATGGGGAAAAAAGCAACACACTTGTATCTTTTTATAAGACAAATCATGTAAGATGTTATAAAATATTATTATTTTGAATAGCTGGATCCTTATGACTATGAAACACTGGATATTGTCCTGAGAGTGATCCAAAGTGCTGATGAGAAGAACACCAGCATCCAGCTGAGCCAGGTGTGTCCAGCTGTGTGACCTTGCTAATGGCACCTCAATTCTGCTTTGTCTGTTTATTGATGGAACTATTCAGCACTGTTGAAATTAAATTAATTATTTCATGTACACATCTTTCCCTCAGAAAATAGCCTTTAAAAAGTGATTTCTAGTAATTTCTCAGCAATTTATACTTTATTTCTTTTTTTTTTCCCTAGGCTTTGAGCCTCCTCAAACATCTGAAGTCTTACACAAGGATTTCTCCACCAGTGGACCTGGAACACCAATATGTTTTGGAGCAGATGATTCCCTTGTCTCCAGCTGCTCACACCAGGCTGCCCTTTCACCTGCTGTTCTTCAGAACTACCCAGTGTTTCTGGAACATTGTATGTAAGTTCAGGATCTCAAATTCCCTTTCTCTGCTATCTCTGACCTTTAAAGTGCCATGGTTTATGTTGTATATGAACTGTAATTCTTCATTAATGCAGTTTTCATCCCAACTGCTTCTGAAAGCACTTCTTGTGCTCCCAAATTGCTGCCCAGAGGAGCTAAGATGATAAATAGAGTGCAGGGTTTATCCTCAGATTCTTTCCTAGCACCTCTAAAATTTATCCACATATCTCACTTCCCAGCCCAGTGGGGATAATTAGGATCAGATCCTTTCTCTCCCAATGGAGGTCCCCATCCACCAATAAACTGAAAGTGCCTCATTTCACAGAGGAAGCTGCCAGTGGATTGTGAGACTCACAGGCAACTTTTCCTTTTCAGCTGCAGAGCTCAGTGAGGAAACCTTCCCAACCCTTCTGTTGATTTCCAAACTAATGAAGGTACAGTAACAGCTTGAAGAAATGGATTTAAATATTATCCCCCCACACCCCAAAAAAAGAAGTTTCCATCTTTCTCTTGCATGATGTTGGCCTCACTGTAGAAGCTCTGACAACTCTTCATCTACTTTGCCATTTTTCCAGGTTTCCCTGGATACCTTCCACATGTCTGCAGTTCGACATGTCTTTGAAAAAAAACTGAAACCAAAAATATTTGAAATGAGAAGCAGTGGCTGTACCTCCATTGTTAACAAAGAAACCATCAAAACTGTGAGGGCACTTCAGTCCTATCTGCTGGCCATAGTCAATCCAGAGTGGGCTGTGGCCATGGCTCACAAGATTGCCCAGGAATTCCCCACAGGTGAGTTGCAAATGGGATGGGGAAGCAATGGGAGGCTTGGGACAAGCAGAGCGAGGGTGGGAGGAAACATTTGTTCCCTGATCCTGAGTAACACCCAGCAAAGCTGGAGCATGAAAATTAATTTGGCTCCTGCATCCAGTTTGGAACAGCAAGTTAGGAAACATCCATTTGATATCACAGCATCACCATCAAATCCTTTTCCCCCTCTTTTTGTAAAATCATAGAAAGGCTTTAAGGTCCTTCCAGCCCAAAGCTGGACACCTTCCACTAGACCAGGTAGCTCCAAGTCTCATCCAACCTAGCCCTGTTGTCATGCCAGAACTTTCTCCATGTTCACACCATCTTCAGACAAGTTTTCCACCAAGAGTCAATATTTCAGCCCAATTTAATCACTTTCTCTGCTATTTGAATGCAAACTGATAATATATTTTTACTCTTTAGACACAAAAATTTTTCTAATATCTTAAATAATCTCTAATTTTTTTCAATTCTTCAAAATAAAATGGATATAATATATAGTGTAGGAAGGGTTATTAAAAACTTTACTTCTTTCCCTTCCTTTTTTTTAAATAATTAAAAAGGTCCTGACCATATCCAGGCACTGAAATTCTGTCTTTATCTGGCTGAGAAGTGGCTGAAGAGTACTACAGCTAAGGTAATGGAAACTGCTTGCCAGATTGTTGTGAACTTATTACAAAAGTTACAAAACGCTTATGTTTATATTTTAATTTTTGGTGTTTTGGGCAGTGGTGTGTAAATTGTACCATAACCTACCCTGGTATGGGAAATACTTTTGGGGAAAGTGACCCCCAGAAGAATCCCTTTTGTCCTGGAACATTATCCTGCAAAACACCCTGCAAAAATCAGGCTCAGTGTTCTTGGAGCTTGGACAAAAAATGAGCAGTTTTAGGGAAAAATAATTTGTTCCTTCTCCTGTTGTGTGCATTTTTCTTGCTGCAGGAGAACAAGGTGGAATCTGATCCAGCTTGAATCAATGCCGTTATTAATTTTTGCTTACAGTTCCAAGACTTTAGCTGTTTGCAGCGTTATATATAAAGAGAATCTGCTTTGACTTGATTCTCATGCTTGTTTTCACATGATTTCCTTTCACAGGGAAAGGTGAATAATAACCTCAGCTTTGATTATAAATCTCAGACTTCCTATGGAGCTGTTGAGGCACAAAGAACTCTAAATAGTTCTCTGTACTTAGTCACATGATCAGAGAGAATTATGCCAAAATTAAACTGAAATTTGAGCAGCCATGAATTCTAATATTTAGCTCTTTTTCTTCTACTTTTTACCTTAAAATTTCTTAATTTTACCTACTTGTACATATTTTATTTGGGTCTTTCACATCATAGCTTTGCAATTTTTTTCAAAATACCTTTCCCAGCTAGAGCAATGTGGTAACCCTCTCTGCAGAAAAATGCCTGTGGGTATGCCTCTGAAGAGCTGTCCAGTCTCTAAAAAGATGGTTTTTCTCGTGCTTTTGAGTAAAAGAGGTTTTTTAATGTAATACTCTGGTGTTTTGCTAAAGGATGAGCCACATGAGAAAGCAGAAGTCCTCCAGAGGAACTTACACTTGCAGTATAAGAGAGCAGCAACAGAAAATGTCCTGATAACAAGTAACTTGAACACTGGGGAACATCTAAAATCCATTGGGAAACCAGCAAATCTGATTGTTTTACTGTATGAACACCACAGCATAGACCAGAGATTCCAAAATCCAGCTGGCAGAGATTATCCAGGTGAGTCTGAGCAAAGAGAAGCTCTTTTAAAAACCCCAGTTCTGCTTTGGAAATAACATTGCCTGCACCTCTTCCTGTAGATATCCACATGGCAGCTAAGGAGATTGCTGAGATTAACAACTTGGATATGAACAAAATTTGTGACAAGCTGCTGGCCAAATGGCTGTGTCCAAGCACACCACCCCCAGGGGTAAGGCATCCCTTGATTTGGGGTTTGATCATATAAATTATATTAAATATAATTATATCAAATATGGGCTTTTTTTCCTCCACTTGTTCAAAAACCCCAAGGTTATTCTGTACAAACTGCCTGTAGTACTCATGAATGTATTTAAGATTTCAGTACTTTCCTAAAATAGCACCCTAGTGTCTGTGGTGAGAAGGATTTGAAATGCCAGATTTCAAATTTTCCTTCTCTCTTTGTGGATTCAAACCTTCCCTTTAGTGCAGCCAGCCTGAGGGAGTAAAGCAGTTGTAAATACATCAGCCTCATCAAGCACTGCTTTAAGCAGGGATATGACCCAGCTATTTATCCAAACAATGTGGAAAATTCATCTAAATTTTCATTTCTTTTTAAAGAAAACCCAAGAAGTCTTTGGAGATGTACTGGAGGATGAAGAGCTTAGAAGGTGTGTGTGCTCTCTTACCTGTAATATGGTGAATTATTTTTAACTAGCCAGTTAAAAATGGCTTTTTCAAGAAACTTAACAATGGGTGTGTGATTCAGAGCTCACTGTTCTTATTTTTACTTTCTGCTGACATCACTTTTGAATCATCCAATATTTATACCACAAAACACCATTGACAATAACTTACATCTGTAAGTTTTTAAGAGTAGCTTTTTGGAGTTTTTCCCCTCCTTTTTCATATCCTTGCTCTCTTTTTAACAGTGAAATATTCACATTGAAATGACAATTGATGTGTTGTATTTCAGTAGCTGTACCTGCATTAAAAACAAACCCATTTTTTGCAGGGCTATTTACCTACTTCAGTCTCGCCCAATGGATTACAGTTCAAGAATGCTTTTTGCAATTACAACATCTGACACATCTGTGAGTTGCTAAATTCTTGTTTTAGCTTTTTATCTCTTATTAAAATCAAATGCTGTCTGCTTTACTGCAAGAGCTCCAACTTTTAGCCTTTGCACCTGTGTTTTGGATGGTTTGTGATTTGTATGAGCTGTTTTCCTCCCTTCACCAACCTTTGCTTAAAACTGATTTTCACTGGATTTTGCTATTAACTCTCAAGAGCAGCCCTTGAACTCTTGGTTTTCTAAACCTATTGCTGATATTACCCGAAACAACTTCATGAAACATTTGCTAGAGTGTGCCTTAAGCTGGTGTAAGACTGGCTCACTTTGGATGGAATGAAAGCAGAGTGGTAAAAGTGTTTCATCAGAACCTTAACCTCGAGGTTTTCCACCCCTAATTACATTTGTGCTACCATATATCACAAATATTTTTCTTGCCTGTATTAATAGTCTGAAATCTAGAAAACTAGAGGGTTTTATATATCTGGGATGATGCTTCCTGGTTGTTCAGCCAGTAGTTGTGACTTTGGGACTGTGTTTTCCCCCTCAGCCTTTTGGTGACACCCAGCTGACGTTTGCTCACAGGACCAGAGCTTTCAGGTGTTTGCTCTACCTGGCAGATACCAGCACTGTGGAATCACTCTTCAAGAAACCCATTGAGAAAGTCAAGTAAGAGGAATTTTTTTACATATTAAAACAACAGAAGGACACTTTTCAGTGTTATCCTGAGCTTGGATACGTGGATTAAAACATAAACATCACTTAACTCCTGCTTTGGGGGGTTTATTTGCACAGGTATTTTCTGAAGTGCTGCCTTTATCTGGCAGAGTTTGAGATCTTGAATATTCCATACACTTATGAATCATTCCACAAGAGCCCTAAGGAAGGCATGATTAAAGGGCTATGGAAGAACCACAGTCACGAACCCAGGGTAGGATTTTTAAATCCTTTGTAAATTTTGTTACACACTGTGTGAATTTATACCTCTGCAAAGCACAGGCTTTTCTAAACATTTTTCTCCAGCGTACTCTGGAAATGACAGATAAAAGCTTTACCCTTCCTATACTTAGAAAATAAAATACCAGTTTTAGATGGTTAGGTTTTGTTCCTCCCATGTGTGCAATAATTCTAGAAGTGGCTTGGAAAGGTTTGAATTTCTGCTAAAATGCAGCATGTCCTTGCTCCTCCTCAGGCTGTGAGACTGGTGACAGAGCTGAGTTTAGAATACCAAGTCTACGATCCCCAGCTCTGGAATGGCCTCCTACAGAAACTCCTGGGCTTCAATATGGTAAGGAAATTTTTAAGGATAAAATTCTGCAGCAAGGGGAGAAAAAGGCTGGGTTTATCCAGTGATTTGTGAAGAACAGGATAAATACAGAAATTATAAACCATGGTTACTCTTAAATACTGAACTGATGATGATTTGAGGAATTTGAATTTTGATCTTAAATTGTTATATTTTGATTTTTAAAAATACTTTCAGAATAAATCCTATAATAATAAATTGAAAATTTTCTTCATATTATTATCCATTTATAACATAATAGGCACATTATTTTGTGCATATATATTCAAACTGTGCATACAGGTATTTCCATATGTGTACATATATACACAAGCCCTAAAATGTATGATGATGGAAATTCTGATTGTTACCATTCAGAATCCTAATTGCCTGTGACTGTCAAACATTATGTAAAGTTGTTGCAGCCTAAGGAAGCAACATGTACCTGATCAACCATTTAATTTACTAAACTACAAAGCAAATTTCCATAGGTGTCAAAGGAACACAGGAACCTTGAGAAATTCCAAGTTTGCATTCTGCAAACAAACCAAGCTAAATGGAATTCTGTAGATTATTGCCAAATATTCAAAAATACCAAAGGACTTGAATTTTGTTTTCTTCCAGATTCAGTATCTAAGAAGAGTTTTGATTGCAATTACTGGGATTCCTTCATTATGGGAGGTAAGCAAATAACTGTCTGGCTCCTCATGTTTCTCTTCACTTAACAGGAATTTGGAGTGTTTGTGTGTCAGCCATAAAAAGATTATTTTTAATGGCTATTATTTCTATGACAGTGCAATATATCAGTGAACACTGGACAAAATAAATCAGAATATTCCTTAATCTTGGACTCTGAGCTAAAGAAAGCAATGTTAGGGAATAATTCCTCCAGGATAAATAAAAAGGAATATTGACAGGCTTCCTCCAGGGGCAGTGGGTTGGGATGTGTGTGTTTATAATACATGGTTACACCTGGTTTTGGCTGTAATTTGAAAATAAACTTCGTTGCCACCAGATTCCCAGCTTCAGCCGAGCCTGGCGCAGCATGGTGCTGTCCCCCTTCCTCACAGGTAGGGCTGTACTCCCTGTCCTGCTCCTGGAGTAGCTTGGTTGTAGGTTTACTACACCTTGTTCTCTTCCTTTCTTTCTCAGCCTCGTGCCCACCAAGTCCTGGGCAGCTGCAGGAGTGCCAGGAGTGCTTTGTGCTCCTGCTCAGGTGAGTTCAGGGCCCTGCCCTGCTCCTCAACATCCTGTGCATGAACCACATTTGCATTGCCTTTGCAGTGCAAAAAGCACGTGGTTTCCTTATTTCACTCACCACAATGCTCTGACTTGCTCAGAAGACCCACCAGAGCTCAGAGAGCCCAACTTGAACCAAAGTTAGTTTGGAAGTAGAGTAGGTTCGGGTTGGGAAGGACTCTAAAGATTGTCTGGAGGGGGATCCTACACTACTGTGCAGACACATTTGTGCCAAAGCTCTGCTCTGGGCAGGTGGCCAACAATTGCCCTCAAAACAGGCTGCTTAGAAAGAGAAACTGGAGGTGTGATTTGGGGTTTGTATTCAGTGAAACTTCAATTTACTTGACCATTTCTGGAACTCATATGAGGTAGAAATGTGTTATCCTACCCGACTTCCAAGTCTCAGGGCAGTTTTGCTGACAGCACTGAGACATCCAGTGAAACAAATCACAGCTGAGAACTTCCCTCCTGATCTCCTGAAGGTGTCCTGTCCTGGCTGACCTGGATATTGTTGGAATTGCTAAACAATACACCCAGCTGGACCTCCCAGCTTTTGCCCTGGGCTGCCTCTTGGTCATTCCTCACTCTGAGAAGAGAGAGCAGCAAATTCAGGTAAATCAGAAGCTTTGTGTTCTGTCTCTGCAAGGGAAATGTTCTTAAGTATGTTCTGCTCACTAGAGCAGGTCAGAGGTGAATTCCAGTTAACTTCAACACATCCCTGCTGATAAATGCTCAACAGCTGCCACCCTCAAAGGCTTCTAAGGGGATCATGTGAACACTTCCTCCTTGTTCTTTTAAAACTTCAGTCATCCCCAGTAGCTTTGTCATCTGACATTGCCTTGAGGATGTTTTATGAGATCCCACCCATAAAGCACATGGGAAAAAAAAAACCAAACCAAACAAAACAGTAAAACCCAAGCCAGAGCAGATTGTAAGACAAGTACTGAATCCTACTTTGGAAGGGTGTTGAGTTGAAAGTTCCTGACTTCCAAGGAAGATGTTTGATATGCACCAGTTCTGATAGAAACCTTCTGCCTTAAAGCCATGTCCTCACCAGCCAGGAACCTTGACATTTTCCCTGCTCTTCTCATTTGTTTCCATTAATTTCTGTTCTGCATTGTTCTCCCAGATGAAGCATTAGAGGCTGTTCCTATATTTGCCACCAGCAAACTGGGACCAGTAAAGGCACCTGAAATTCTTAGATTTCCAGTCATTAAAGCTCCTCTGAGAAAGGTTGCCCCAAATCACAGCTTAAGTGTAAGACACTCATCCTTGCTGGCAGTGACTCAAAAAATCCTCTGACAGCTACAACAAAACACCATTTGAGAGAGTTAAAAGCAACACTTTCAGTCCAAGCACACAGATCCTCGTTTGATAATTCTGTGTTTGCACCTAGAATTTCAAAAGATTTCTGAATAAATCAAGTATTTGTTCTGAAAGGAGTGTTCCTGCTTTAATCAATCACTGAATAAAAATGTTTTGTAACTTATTTTCACAAGGGTTTGTTATCAACCTGTAAGAAAGAAACTGTGCTGCAACAATTGGATGAACACATAGACACTGGAGAACTGGTAGCATTTGCTTCCCAGGTAAATAAATAAAATTTACTTCACTTCCGTTTGACTTGGAGGCTTTTTTGATAGGTAAGTGTTCACAGGACCTTCTTTTCTCTCTCCTCTGATCTTGTCCAGACTTACTTGACTTTGAATGCTCAAAAAATGTAGAATATTTTTAAAATGCAGAACCACCTTGTTTTTTCTAAATAAATATTTGAGGCTAAAAGGGTTTAGTAAACTGCACTTTTGCCTTGCCTTGAGCTGCCTCCCTATGGGTAAGTTTAAGTCACTTCCCTCTGATTTTGGGATCAGTTTTCATAAAATCTGCCATTTCACAACACTTAAATAAAATGTAAAAAAAAAACCCTTTTCTTTATAGAACCCATTATGAAAACTATGAGCTCTTTCCATTCAAAAGTAAAATCTCTTTTGTCTAAAATATTAACACTTTTCATTATTAAAACTTAAATCTACAGATCAGATCTTTGATTTTGGACAGTATCATCAATGAGAAGCTCTATGATCAGTTCTGGAAAACCAAATATTATCCACTGTTAAAGCAACACCTGATAAACACCCACAGAATAAAAGAGCTGGTGAATTATTTTGCCAAAAACAACTGGTAAGTTAATAAATGGTAAAAAAACAAGTGTAACTGATAGCAATTGCAAAAATTAAATCTCAGCTTTATTTAATTTTCCCTTGTTTGAAGTTATGGAAGTTTTCTAATACTTAGTCTCCAAAGATTTTTAAGGATTGCTAGGTTAATAAAGCAGTAAATTTCACCTCACTAGGATAGAGTTTTAGAGCCATTTAAGACCAAGTAACAGATTATTAAGCCTGGACTAGCAGCAGATCAAATTCAGTTAAAAGAGAAGCAACCAAAGTGAAATAATCAAAACCTTGACCTTACCTTTAGGTGAATCCAGCTCAGGGGCATCACAGAGTCACAGCTTCAGCAATAAAAACACTCAGAAAAAAATAAATTATCTGCCTGTACTGAAGACTTGGGAATTAGTGGTTTTGCCACAAAGTTTACAAGAAATGAAAGTCATTCTTGTGCTCCACTTAAATCACAGAGGGGGCTGGGTTGGGCCCCCTCACCTGGGGATTCACAGCACCTGGGCTCCTCTCACACCTGGGCACACTCAGAGCCCAAGCCCTGGGGATTGCAGGGCACTGCTACCACTGATCCCACACTCACACTGGGGCAGGAACCAAGAAACATTTAAATCCTGTATTATTGATTTTATAGCCCCAAGGAAAAAGCCAGGTTTGTCTTCTCTACTAGGAAATTACAGGGCCATCTCTGACTTCAAAGCTGTGGGATCATACTTTGTTTTCTACTTCTGTTGTCTAAATTACTGGCTTTTTAGAGAGCTTCATTTGACAAGGTTGATCACCTTTTACCACTTACAGCCTTGATGATGCAACAGCCCTGATTCAAGAGTATCAAAAGAAGTGTGGAAACCCTGCTCTGGCAGATGTCCCAGCATCTCATCTTCTGCAGGTAAAACAAACCATCTCTGTACCTCAGACAGTATTTTCTCCTTTTTCTCTGAAGGCTTTCACTCAACTTCCTGCAAAAAATTTTTTTAGCTGATACACTTTTGTAACATGTGTTGTATATAACAAAATATCCCTTAATTAATTCAAATAATTCATTTTACCTGAACCACGTCTGTGTCCTGGATCACATCCCATTTTCCTAAGCCCTACTAATGTTGTTCTTTGACCTTCCAGATGTACCTGAATGAATCAGAGGGGTCCTGAGTCCTGGAAGTGCCATAAATTAGCTCGAGATTTCCTCTTGTTCCTCTTCCCTCTCCTGGCAGGAGGGGGGGCTGTGCATTCACAACTCTTGTACCGCTCAGGAGAACAAAAACCCCAAAGCTTTTTCCAAGAGCATCCACAACCTCTCCACATTTTTCCAGCTGTTCTAGGCTGCTTCGGCTCCATTCTCCACCCCCCACAAAAACAGTTCGGACTCACAGCAGAATTTCCTGTTTGTAGTCATCAGTTCACACTCAGCACTTTAACTTTGGGAAGGAGTAAAGTTTACTTCCCTTACTTCTGTATTTCCCCATGTTCAGGCCGGCTGTCAGGACCACTCTGAGATGTCATCCACAGCAACAGAACCTTTGTCATCACTGTGATAAACTTTTATAAAACTGCAGGGGCTGTGGTTCATGTAAAATACTTTGTAGACAAATTTTAAATGTAACTTTGCAAACTTGCGTATCAATTTTGGCCTTACAGTAAAAATAAATAAACTTGTGTGTCAATTTTGGCCTTACAATCTAAATTAAAAATAAATAAACATATGCATCTATCTTGGCTCCTTACAATATTCTATAAACCTCTTAATTATGAGTTTGTCAATAAATTGATGTTCCAGTCAATGGAATTCCCTGAATATCACATGCCAAGGTGATATTTTCTTTTCAGCTTTGCTCTGACTGCATGAAGTGCAATTAGCCAGAGGTTCTTGAGACACCAGCCTGAAATGTCTTTTTTCCAGAGCAAAGCAGGTTTATTTTGAATAGAAATGAGTAATTTAGTCAGCTCATGACACAGAAAGAAGGGTTCCAGCTGATGGAAAAGTCATAATCCAAAGGCCAAGGAAACTGCCCCCCATCCTAAACATTCTGTTGTGGGAGACAAAAGATAAAAATCTGTTTTGTTGGAAAGTTACAGCAGTTGTGAGAAAGGGGAGCTGTTAAATACATTCAGGTCCCTGCAGCTGTGGGAACAGAGGAGCCACAAGGTGCTGTTCCTTGAACAAGCCACATTTATCTTCAGCAGCTTTAAGAGTCACCTGGAATTACATCACTGAGAGCCTCTGTGCATGGAGCAAAGAGCACAAAAAATGGAGTGTCAGATGTGAGCCACAAATAAAGGAAAGGCTCTCCTCACTGGTTATGGATTTAATGAGATCATCAGTCATGAAAGCACATGGAGATTTGGAAGTGCTTTGATCAGAGAAAGACTCAAACTTTCTACAGTGAAATTACGAGGTAATTATAATCCTTTCAGAGCCTGTCAAGCCATTTTACCCCTTGAACTTAGCTGAGAATGTTAAATTGAGACAATTAAATATCAGCCTGGTCCCAGAACCCTCAATCTCTGTTCAAAGCCTCTACAAACATCCCTTAGAAGGGAACACTAAACCACCACAACTGCTGCATTCTTCCCCAACAACACCTCACCAAGCTCAGCTTTTCTATGAAGTGTAGTTTATTACAAGGAGTTTATTACATTACTATTAAGGAATAGTATTTAGACAGTTATCTTAATGGAATATTTTACAAATCATACAGAGAAAAGCAAACACAAGGTTGTTTAAATTCATGACAAGAAGTTACATTGTTAAGCTGTTAGCAACAGTGCAGGGCTGTAAACGAGCAATCAAGTTTTGGAACTTGCAGTTCAGAAGGAGATGGTAAAAATACCAGACAAGCAAAAACATTTTTTAGGATTTCTTGTACTCGATTCTTTCTACCTTCACATCATCTCCAATTAGTTGATAGACATATGTAACTACTGTAGAAGCCTGGATGTCCATCAGCACAAATGAAGGAATGATGTTGCTGGAAAGAGAGGAAAAAATTCATAGTGATTGTGTCTACAACCCCCTTAGTGTTTTGCCCCTATTCAGCAGAAATCACTTCAAGAAAAATAGGAATTAATTCTATAAGTACAGCACATGAGATCTGAGGCTGTGAGCATTTCATGTTTCAGTCCAGGAGACTGAGCAAGTACAGCTGTGTAAGTTATACAACTCTAACTATCCTCTCCCTGATATTTAAATATTAACCCTTAAGAGTTTGTAGTCAGTTTTGTTACAAAAAAAAAAAAAAAAAAAAAAAAAAAAAAAAAAAAAAAAAAAAAAAAAAAAACAACAAGCCAAAAAAATCCCCCCCAATATTCACTTACTTCTCTAAGGCATGGTAGGCTCCTGTAGCTGATCCTGGGTTGATATAGAATTTATTTTCGTGTTCAAATGCCTCAAATTTGTGTGTGTGTCCCGAAATGAGGATGTCCACATCAAACTGCCTCTGGAGCAGTGCCAGGCTGGCCATGTCACCCCAGGGGATCACCTGATGGCCATGAATCAGCCCAATTTTGAACTGTCCAACAGTCACAACTTTCTGCTCAGGATAATTCAGGTTCTAAAAATAAAGAAAATAAACCCAGATTAGATAGATTTATATTTAAACCCAACCCTATTGCAACACCCAGAAGGGGAGAACTGAGGAACTCATTCCACCACTTTTACTTGAACGAACTCCAAATGTAAAAAACGTAAAAGATACCCCAAAAAAACCAGACACTACCTCATCAAAGTCCCCTCTGACAACATGGACATCCCCAGCCAGGGTCTTGAGGTAGTCATAGGTGTCCTTGGTGCAGAGGTTCCCTGTGCACAGGATGTGTTGGATCTTGCCAGGCACCAGCAGCTTTTTGAACTTGGCCGGGAGGCTGTTGCAGCGATGGGGGATGTGGAGGTCGCCCAGCACCAGCACCAACTTCAGGGGAGAGAGGGGACAGACGGGTTAGGGACAGCCAGCCCTGCAGTGTCCCCTGCAGTGTCCCCTGCAGTGCCACAGCTCGGCACTGGCACCCAAAGCTGCTGCAGTAAGGATGGAGTGGTGATGGGATTCTGTTCCACGGGGCTTTGCCAGGCTGTGAGCTGAGGGGGCTGTACAAACACAGGTCTGTAAAATTGTTTGTGGTTTCCTGCTGCAAGCCAGCAGTGCGAGGTGACACATTCCTGTTGTGTTACCTGATGTGTTTTACACAAATTTGGCAGCTACCATAAACCACCCCACTGTTTTTTTCTAACACATTTCGCACACAGACCTGGCTAAACTGCAGCCACTCCTCTTAAAAAAAATTCTTCATCCAAGCTTCTCTCCCCTTACTTTAAAAAAAAACCCAAAATATTTTTAAAAAGCGGCAAATTTGTAATATGCCTTAATAGCTGACCAGAAGACAGAGTGTTCAGAGTTTTCATGGTAGAAACCACTGAAAAAACTGAATAAGGCTAAAAAATAATAACAAAATACAAAAAAGAAGCCAACCAGGTCACTGCACAGTGCTCCTGTCACCACTTGTGTACGTTTATAGTTTCAGATGCCAGAATAAAAATGTAGTGGGGGGCTTCAAAATTAAGGATTGAGATGATGCAAGGCCATGGCTTAACAGCACAGGCTTTAAATCTGCAAATAAAGCAACAAGGCAAGCAACACAGGGCAAATTAATTGTGCAAAAAGGGCATGAGAAGCTTTATAAAGCAGGGAATGTTATTGCACTGCTCTGGGAAAACTCTGGATCTGGAGACAGCCCTAAGAACTCAAAGAATGGCCCCAAATTAAAGAGATTTTTATCTTCTACTTCACGTGAGTGAGGCAGTTCCTAAAATGACACCCTCAAATGTGTTTGTAAAGGACACAGCCCAGATTTACTTCTAGGAACAAATATAACTAGGCTAGAAAATTGTGTTTTTAAAGATTTATTTTTCCTCATGGGTTTTTAGGCCATGCAGTTACCTCCAGATAACACTCCTCAAGAAGGCAGAGGGAGCTTGGATAGTATTTTTGATTGGTTTAGGGCTTTTTTTTAGATTAAGAACATCTCAGTGCCACCATCAAACCCATCTGGAGACAGATGGTTGAAAGTATTGGTAATGCAATAAAAAAGCTTTTTAATCAATGAGTGACCAATACAAAATGAAACCAGGAGAGGAAAAAAAAAAGACATTTTTGATGGTCTTTGAAGAGTAACAAGTGAGTAACAGTGATTTGGATTAATAAATGTCAAAAGACAGATTGTCTAACTGCTCCCTAAGGGACTTAAATGTGCAGTACCAGTGATGTATTTGATGTTTAATAAAATTATCCTGCCACTCACACAGCCCAGCGAGGCAGCAGTGTGTGCTCTCAGCACAGACATCCCCTCTGCTGACAAAATGCCAGCCCCACACTTCCCCAAAATCCACATTTCAGCTCCCATTCATTACAGAGAAGCTCGGCAAACTGCAGTAAGCAAACCCAACGAGCAGCACCCCAGGGTTTAACCACCACAGGCATCTAGAGCTTAAAGCAGTGGTGAAAAATGATAAAACACCTGGATTTTTGGGGGTGATCTGGGTCGGCCAGCAGCCCCTGAATTCACCTGAGCCACCTGGCAGTGACACGGAGGAACACGAACGAGCCCTTACCACGGGTGTTAGAGCCAAGGAGTGACTTACTCTGTGCCCAGCCTGATTGGAATGAAGGAGTTGATTGCAGGGGATGAGAAACAGGGCGGAACATGATCAATGTTAAACGAGAGGAAGCAACAGAAGAGAAAACACAGCCAAATGAACGGGCAAATAATAATTAATGAATTGTCGATGTTATGAAAGAAGCGTTAAATATTTTTTTTTTCCAAAAAATTAATGCGATCACGACAAAATTAATACAAATTCTAAACGGAGCTCCTGCAGCCGCGGCCCGGCCCTCACCCCCCCGGGGGCCTCGCCTCAGCTGGGCACCGCCCTCCCGCCCGCTCTCCCCAAGCCCGGCCGGCTCGGGCCCGGCTGCCGTGGCCGTGCCGGGGGTCCCGGTGTGCCCGGGAAATCCCGGGAATCCCGGGAATCCCGGGAGGGTGCCCCGCTCTCACCATCGCGCCCGCTCCGCTCCGGCCCTCACGGAACCCGCCCGGCGCCGCCCCCGCTACGGCGCCCGCGAAGGGACAACAAGCTCCGAGCGCGGCCGGGCCGCGCTCCGCTGGCTGCGTTCTTATAGCGAGAAACGAGAATTGTCCGCGAAACGAGCGATAACGACCACAGAGAGTGTGATAATTTATTTCAGAGTTGAGCAAGCTCCGTGGTCTCCCACAAACCAAGCACCCCAACTATCAATTATTTTTACTATTTACGCATTTTAGGAAACAAAAGAATTGGTGTCCGTTGGCTGTAAGTTACATAGGTGTCTTATTAATTAGTATTCCATAGGTAATGGTTCTCTTGCTTCCCGTGCTAATCAGTGCCATGTTCGGCCCTTCTTTAGGGTCGGGGGCGTTTCCTGGCTCTGTCCCTGAGCTGGTGCTGCCAGGGCAGCTCCGATCTCTGCTCTGGGACAGGGACAGGACCCAGGGAACGGCTGGAGCTGTGTCAGGGGGGTTTAGGCTGGAGATCAGGGAAGGTTCTGGGCACTGCCCAGGCTCCCCAGGGAATGGGCACGGCCCCGAGGCTGCCAGAGCTCCAGGAGTGTTTGGACAAAGCTCTCAGGGACAGCCTGGGATTGTTGGGGTGTCTGTGCAGGGCCAGGGGGTTGGTCTGAAGATCCCTGCGGGTAACTCGGGACAACCCCCAGTTCCGTAATTCAATCCCCAATTCCGCAGGAATTCCATAATTCCGCAGTAATCCCACACAAACCCCTCATCCGGGGCCCCGCCCCGCGGCGCTTCCCGCCCTCCGCGGCCGTGAGGGGAGTGGGGGGGCGGCCATGAAGTGCGTGATCGGGGGCGCGCAGCTCCGAGGTACCGGGAACGCGGCACGGGCGGGATCGGTGCGGGACACCGGGAACACGGCACCCGGCACGGGCGGGATCGGTGCGGGACACCGGGAACACGGCA